AGCGAGACATTATCGGTGTTGGTTTGATGGAAAGGAAAAGAGGAATTCGTCATCAGCTGACTGTAGCCGCCACCCTCGTCGCCCGCGAAGTTCCCTGCAGATGTGCCTTGAAGATTCAGAGAACAACTTTAGCTGCAGAGTGGTGTCAAAAAAAGACAAGCGATCAAAAACCCAGAATGCTTCTGCAGGTAGCTCATTCTCATGTCTGTCAGTGCTGGGATTCAGTGTTTGAACAGCAAAATGTCTCAGAATGACTTGTAGTATAGAGTTTATCAATGCAGCATGGATTTAATTTTCCTTTTAATAAGTACAGCTCTGTTTCAGGGGCAGTGACACTTCAGACGCTGCACAAAGATACACCTCCTTTCACCGGCGTCTTTCTGGGCTGTCGGTGCAAACGATTGTGCAAAGCATTTCAAAATGTTCCCTGGGGTGTCCCCTTTCCGTTGCATGAGTCACGGGGCTCCAATCCCATTTTTTATGAAATTCTGAACATGCTTAAAAATGTAAATGACGAATTTCCTCTGAAAATAGTCACAGAGTTTAGTCTCAGAGTCTCAGATTTGTTCACACGAGTCAGAAATATGAGACATCGTTGAAAACAGCACACAGAACTGCACCACGTTCCAGTTCAGGGTGATTCCAACACGGAATGTTTACATTTCCTGTCGCCGACGGGCTGAAACGAAGCAGAATGTGGCCTAAACAGATGCTCTGGCAGGCACCTGATACGATGGCATTTAGACATCTACAGTTAGCCTTTATAGCTCATTATTTTATAAACAGATGGGTTAATATCCATATGGAGCTAACTGTCTTCTTTATTGTTACACCCCAGAGAAATACTGGCTTCAGTGTTCTTGTTCAATTACATGTTGATTAAAAATTATTCGAGAGTTTAAAAATAAAAACTTTATTAGCATGGAAAGGCTCAGACTTCCCCCTCCCCGGCTACATGGGGCCAGCTTCTCCGGGGAAATCCCAAGGAGTTCCCTGACCAGCTGAGAGAAATAGTCCCTCCAGCGTGTTCTGGGTCTACCTTTATGTCTCCTCCCGGTCGGACGTGCCTGGAAAACCTCACCAGGGAGGCGTCCAGGAGGCATCCTAACTAGATGCCCAAGCCAGCTCAACTGGCTCCTCTCCACGTGGAGGAGCAGCGGGTCTACTCCGAGCCCCTCCCGGCTGACCGAGCTTCTCAACCTGTGGAGAAAACTCATTTCAGCAGCAAATAATCTCTATACAGGGTATCCGCGGGTCCTTAAAAAGTCTTAAAAAGTCTTAAATTTGCTTTTCCAAATTTAAGGCCTTAAAAATCCTTAAAAATGACAAATAATCCTTAAATACAGTTTCCAAAGGTCTTAAATTACCAAAGACCCAATAAACAAGATTCTTTTATTTTTGTCAAATTTTCGTGAATTACTAGTTAGTGTTCAGCATTTTTTGTGTGTATGACGTTGGCGTAAGCGGAACCGTACACATTCAGTTGGTTGTGAAAGGGGGCTATTTTTAGATGAGCACATTAGCTGGTTAAGCTAGTGGGAGCTTGCGCCATGGGGAAGTGCAAGTTTAATGGTAACTGGATGGCTAATCCCACGTTCGCGACGTGGTTAGCACCGGTTCCTGGCAATAGCTGGAAATTATGGTTTAAATTTAATTTTAAAAATAGCTTAAATTTGGTCAAAGTGGCCTTAAAAAAGGTCTTAAAAAGTCTTAAATCTGGCTCCCTTAAACCTGCAGTTACCCTGCTATAATTAAAATTAAACGAAGCTAAAGTAAATTTTACATTTATAACAGAGCTCATACTTTTCTGGAGAATTTATTGTGAGTACAGTTTTGTTCATTAATCATTTAATAAATTTGCAACTTATCTGCAAATACATGAGATCTTAATGACTTTGTTTATTTTACTTCTTTACATTTCTCCACCAGGACGACACAGAGTGTTGACAGGAAGTGTTTTAATATACTCCTCTCACCCTTTCTTTCCCTCTTTTTTCATATCCTTTCAAAACTTCGTTTTCCCCCTCAGTCTCATCTCAGCTCGCTCAAGCATTGGCCCGTCAAGGCCATCAGCGCCGATCCAATAAAGCCAGCAGCCTGTGGAGCTTCCTCTCAAACTCAGAGTTTTAAACACGCTGATTTATCAGCACATCTGACCTGAAGTTGAAGCACGGAGCCGCAGAGCTCGTTTTCTCCTTTTTCTTATTTTCCAACCAAAAATCGAATCAATAAGGGTTTCACAGACTGGACGTAAACACACAACCACACACATCTCAAGAGACTCAACAAGCTCAACCACCAGCTCACCAGTCACAGTAAATGTTTGTTTGCCAGCACCGAAATTTCAAAATCAGACAACGGGAAAAGGTCGGTGTGTTCCAGAGTAGTTTCTCCTTTTGGTGTGCAGAGTTCAAGTTTGGCGTTTGGTGCTCATTTACAACTAATGGGTTTCCAATGAGCATAAATCATCAACGTTACCGTTCACTCTGTGTGTGTGTGTGTGTGTGTGTGTGTGTGTGTGTGTGTGTGTGTGTGTGTGTGTGTGTGTGTGTGTGTGTGTGTGTGTGTTTACTGTATAATTCAGTGCTTCTGGGAATTTATCAAATCCATTAAAACATCAACATTCACAGGGATCCCTCCTTCCTTGGCTGGGTTTCTGTTAACATTAGTGCGTTTTATATTTTAATTCTATGCAATAAGTTCAACTTTAGGAGAAACGTTCTCATCTTTCTAGCTGTGTGCTAGCACAAAGGTCTGGGATTGATTTTATTTTTTTGGGTGTTTAAATGTCTGAGACTTTAAATGGGAGTGAAGCGAAGCGTCCTTTGCTCGCAGCGCTGCAGCACTTAAAAATGACATTTATAACTGAGCGTGGCAGATAAACACAGGCTTTACCGTGAACACTTTTCTGCTTTAAAGTTGAAACATAGTCCTAAATGGTTACAGTGGACAGAATATGCCTCTCTCTGGAAGACCTCAGTGCACTTTGAACAAAATGGTGCAATTGCTACAAATCGCTTTAAAGAATTATTGTCACCTTTCAAAACTGTCAATCTTCCAGCTTTAGGAGGAAAATCTTCAACTTTAATGTGATTATTCATATAAACACAAATTAATATTTCTGTATGAGATGATATTGTGGACACTGAGCATGGGCAAGATCCTAATCAATTTATTCTAATTCAGTATGGCTGCCGCAGCTGATCAATGAACCTAAAGTGACTCAAGGCTTCGCAAAACGTACTTAATGTCCCAACAGCCACTAGAGATCTTGTGTTATTGCACGAGGTCATACAAAGTGTCATTTTAAAGATATATTTAAAAAGTTAGAAGTTTTTTTTACTGTCTGACATTAAAGTTGGCAGGTTATGTATTTACATAAATCCGAGGCCTTTTACTAATTATCCAAACTTTAATATTAAGAAGGGAAAAAAACACCAGTTGTCATTAATATGGTTAGTTATGTTGGCATTCATCTGATTCAGCTAAACTCATAAAGTAGAAATCTGGAGTTTTTTCTCAGACTAATCCATCTAGAGGCGAAAAAATGTACTGCACCATAAGCCACCCTTACTACTCCCGTGATTACAGCTGAAAGCAACGCCTCTCGTTCCTGAATGCACACCTCTAGCCAGTCAGCACGTTGTTTTTCAGTTACGATTCTCACGTTATGCTGCTTTTTCATATTTTAAACACTTACTTGTCCATTAGAAATGTTGCCTACTCTGCATCGGACTAGGTACGTCTGCAAACGCTTGCACACGCTCTGCGATTGGCATAACGCCATTAGCTGATGCTGAATGACACTCAGTTCAAATTGCATGTGACGGGGGGACAGACTTAGCAAAATAATATTGTATATAACATCACAGAACAGGATAAAACTATCACTTTTGCAAATTTCCCTAAATAAAATCACATAAACCCTGAAATGGGAAAATTCCAGATTGCTGCTTTAAGTGCTTCCTAATGGACGATATGAAATTACCACACAGTCAGGCCTCACATTGGCTGCTCTTCACAGGTATGCATTAAGAAAGATTGGAAAGTGTCATTGAAAGTGTTTTCTAATGCCCTTTGCCTCCATTGTACCATCGCAGAAACGGGTCAATCATCCTGAGCTGTTATTAGTCTGTAACGCTGAGTTTTAGCTGCACACTTGACATGTTCATTAGGTATAAAACCAATTCATTTACAACACCGTGCCATTAGATTGTCCTTGCCTCGACATTCATCTTCCAGCACATTGGCATTTGATGTGTTGCCGTTGCCAATTAACTTTGATAACTCGGCTCCGGCTTAATATACCGCTGCTGAGTTGGCTTGACACGAGTGTGGTGATAAGCTATTTCTAAGCTTTCAGAGTGGCGAGAGCTGGATTATCGCTCAGACTGAGGGAGGGGCTGGGAAAACTTTCCTGCATGACCTCCCCATCCAAAAGCCATTAAAATGTTTGTTGTTGGCCAGCGTGCGCACGCACACATGCACGCACACAAACTGATTAAAGCATCTTTGTGGGCTTTACCGTTGTGCATCACTCATTTCTGCTTTACCTTACTGTGGGGTTTATTGATCGTGTTCTGCTATGACGGGTGACATGCAGAATTGCACACGGGAAAACGGGTACGTGTAAAAAGGATTTATTTTAAAAGAGGAGCAACAGGAACTGAAGATGCAGCGTGCTGATAGCAGGACTCCCGGGTGAGGTTCTGAGGAGGGAGACAGAGTGAGAATCCAGTGGGCTTTATGGAGATATTGACTTTAGACGAGAGCTTACCGTTTTACCGGTAACAGGCAGCTCACCACAGACCATGACAACGTGTTTTCTAAATGAGGACTTTTATCTTTGTTTCCAGCTTAAATATCTGCTCTGTTTTGTGAGACTTCCAAAGTTGTAAATGCTGCTCTGGCAGAAATGTTTCTGATATACAACCCATGGCAATAAAGGTAGTGAACAGCAGCTCCCAGCTGATGTGTTGTTGTTTTCTCTCCCTCGGCAGGCTGCCAGGTTCTGGGCCGCTCTCCAGAGGCTCCCTGATTGACCGACTGGTCTCTCAATCCGTCACTCAGCACCAGTTTCAACAAATGGGAGCTGACACTGGAGCCATGGGTGGGATGAAGGTCTTGCTCCTGGTATTTCTGGTTGGATGGCAGAAGTCAGTGGGTCTCAACTGGAACCCAATCCCACGCAAGACCGTCAGATACCAAGGTGAGTGAGTTCTCCACAGTCAAAGATAATGGTACCAATTTGGTTGATGCTTCCCCCCAGGGCAGGGGCGGATTAAGGACTGAAGAACATCCGGGGCTTAACACACGCACACACACACCCGCGCGCGCACACACACACGTGACACGCACTAGTCAACATCATATATATTTGTCTTGTACCACATAATTATTAATCTGAAGCTACATATTAAGCATTTTCAGGGCAGAGTATTGTTCCTGTTAGTGTTTAGTGTGAGATGATAGTAAATATTCCCTTTCTTTCTCCATCAACTTTACCTGATAGTAAGCTAACTTTAGGCAAACCAGCAGCACAACAAATATTTTCAAATAAGACTCACAAACCTGAGTCAACACCAGTCTCATCAAAGCTGGGGTTCTGTCGTTGTACTTTTGGTCTAAAAAACTTCCTTATGTCCATCTTCACTCATGCGTTTCAGACAGAGAGTGTAGAAGAAGCCCTGCTGAAGGGCTTCTTCTTCAGTGGTGGAGGCTCAGGCAGGCTGTATACAAACTACTGCCAGCTGCTCCCTCTCTGTTGGACTTTGGTACTGCATGTTACTTCCACGTTTTAGATCCGGGGCTTTCCATGAAACATCCGGGGCTTCAGCCCAAGTAGCCGGGCCTAACGCCGCCCCTGGCACAGGGTCCAGGGTTTTGGACTGATGTGTCATCTAGGGTGTAAATTTGGACCTCGGGGGTAATTGAATGTCCCTGCCCAAGAGCCCAAACGGTGCATTTTTGTTTCTAAATAGAGTTTGATGTACAGTTAGTTACACAAGCAGGTGATCCTTTTTCTGAGTGTAAAGGTTTCAGCAAAAGTTTAGGTTTGGAAAACAAACACTGGCACACCTAGAAGTCAGAAAATTGTGTTTTTTGCAACAAAGTCACAATTTCTCTCAAAGAAATTTGGGCTCAGTGGAGGAAAAATATGAAAAAAAGGTCAGTGTGAATCGAGATTTTGCAGAAAACTGTCTTCCCACCTAAAAGCTGTTAGGTTTTCTTCTTTGGACTTCAGCTTTGTGTTCTTTCAAAGGTCAGCATAGTCAAGACAAGCTGCTAATGGTGACTGCTGAGACACAGTGAGTCAAAAGTCACCAAATGAGAACTTCTCTGAAAAATAGCAGAAAATGTGTGAATTTGCCCAGCCCTGTCATCGTTTCCACTGGCAGCAGCAGGCGTCTGTGC